GATATCTTTTTTTTTGAAATTTAACGGTTAATATTAGTACTTAAATATAAACAATCTTAATTGTTTAAACAATTTCTTAAAAGCTCAACCAATTATCTTTAAAACGCAATAAATTTCAAGTTTCTACCTTTTATAGAACTTGAGATATAGCCATTTGAAAATGTGTCTACAATGCCAATTCTCAAAACCCCATGGGTCCATATCTCCGAGGAAAAAAATTACAAAATTTTTTCCCGAGATACGGGTCTTCTTATTTTATGAAAGGAGCTCATAAAAAAAATTTCAGCCAAATCGGAGGTGATGAGGTCAAAAAGGTGTCCGGTTTGTAAAAGAATGACCCATATACACATAGAGTGTGCATGTCGAACAAAATATCCGTCACAAAAATTTTGCTCTACTGGTTTTTTAAAAACCCAGGAATTATTCAATATTTGAGTCCTTTTACTACATGTGTGCAAAGAGACTGCCTATTTCTTGAGGTGAGACCTCAGTTGTGGCGCGTTCGCTGGCACGACGTCGTTCAATGACTCTAAGTTGAGTCATGATCCTAGCAGCAGCGGTCGATATCAATCGCCAAATATCCGGCGAGTTAAACATTTTCAAAATTAAATTTCCCGGGCAAATAGGCACGCCAATAGCCTCACTTATCTCTGCTCTGACTTCGTTAAAACGTGGACAAGAGAAAAGAACGTGGTTTGCATCCTCAGCGACCCCTTCACAGCTAGGACAAAACGGATCTTCTTCGTGTTTGAAACGATGAAGGTACTGTTTAAAGACTCCATGTCCGGTTAGGATCTGAGTGAGATGGAAATCTACCTCACCATGCGACCTGTGTACCCACACATCAAGATTTGGGATCAGGGTATATGTCCACCTCCCTTTCATCGAGTCATCCCACCGTTGTTGCCATGTAATCATGGAAATGCTTCGTGCCTCATCCTTCGGCAATCTACTGTGCCAGATCTCTCGAAGTTCGTAGGCCAACAGATCAAGCGGCGGCATGCCTGCTATAACACATGCAGCATCGTCCGATACAGTGCGGAAAGCAAAGGTAGCAGTAGTCAATCGTTTGATGATGCCTATGTAGAAGTACCTTGCGAACGTGCAGTGGGGAATAAACTTCGACTTTTAGTTGACTCGGGAGCAGACACCAGCCTTATAAAAAAAGAGGCGTTAATCAATTTAAAAGATATAAACACCAAAGACACAAAGGGTCTTACAGGAGCTTTTGGAGGCAATATAAGTACATTGGGTACAGTCAATATTGAACATCGAAAATTTCCAGCTCTACAATTCAAAATGCATGTAGTGCCAGTAGGTAGCCAGTTACCAGCAGACGGACTTCTAGGTCGAGATGAACTGTGGAACCGGTCTACTACAGACACAATTAAAAAGGTTTTAAAATTTTTTAAGAATAAAGAGGAATTAGCTACTTTACCACTGGTAAGCATTGTAGATCATGGTCGGATTTGTATAGCAGAAAGCATGACAATCCCAGGTAGATCAACAATGATTATTCCAGTAAAAGTAGTGCCTAAAGAAGGAACACTCGTAATACATAAAAAGGAAATAGTTAGAAATGTCTATTCAGGTGAATGTTTAACAGAAGTAAAAAACGGAATAGGTTTTGTTAGAATTTTGAATGCAAACAACTATGCAGTTGAAATGAATAGTGAAATTGAATTAAAGGGCAGTGATATGAATGAGTACTATGAGTACAATGTCCCTAATGTTAATTTAAACAAAGAAGTAAACTTACAGGATCGGTACGGAAAATTACTGAAATTAATAAGATTGGATGAGCGTTTAAACAATGAAGAAAGACGGTTAATTACGCAGACAATTAAGGAATATAACGATGTATTTCACTTACCAGGAGATAAACTGTCCTACACATCAGTATTGGAAGGAAGGAATTTAAATGAACACGACCAAAGGTTAAGGAGAGTATTACAAGCACTAAAAGAAAATAATTTAAAATTACAAACGGAGAAATGTCAGTTTTTAAGACGAGAAGTCGTATACCTTGGGCATAAATGTTCGGACAAAGGAGTAATTCCAGATCCAAACAAAACCAAGTGTGTTAAGTCTATCCCAGCACCTCGAAATGTTAAGGAACTGCAATCATTTTTGGGACTTGTGAATTATTATAGGAAATTTATCCCACAAGCAGCGAGTGTGTGTTTACCACTTGGTAAATTACTAAGGAAAGGAGAAAAGTTCGAATGGAACGACAGTTGCCAAGAAGCAATGATTAGACTGAAGGCTGCAATAACGAAGCCTCCTATACTTCAATATCCAGATTTCTCAAAACCTTTTGTTTTAACAACCGACGCTAGTAATGAAGCGTTAGGTGCAGTATTGTCTCAGGGAGAAATAGGTTCTGATTTACCACTTTATTTCGCAAGCCGTGCTCTGAGTAATACGGAGAAAAGATATTCAACTATAGAAAAATAATTTCTTGCGATAGTTTGGGCAACTAGAAATTTTAGGTCTTACTTATTGGGAAGACATTTTAAAATATTTACTGACCATAAGCCATTAAGAGGTATAGCAAATCTTAAAAACCAAGACACACGTTTGGGAAGATTCCGATTGAAATTGTTGGAATACGATTTTGAAATTTTGTACAAACCAGGAAAAACAAACAAAAACGCGGATGCTCTGAGTCGGCTACCAATAGCAGTAGTTACGAAAGGAAATAAAAGAGCAACATATCTGAAAGAAAACAAAAATAAAATGGAATAAAATGAAATAGAAGAAGTGGAAGATACAAAGGACCAGACGAAAGAAGATTACGCGGTATTTCTAACCAATAAAAGAGATATCCAAGAAGTGTTAAAGAAATTCCACGACTCACCTATCGGAGGACATCAAGGGGCTGTTAAAACGTATTTTTGAATACGAAAACAGTTTTAATGGGCAGGCATGCAAAGACAGATAAAAGACTACGTCGGAACATGTCAACAATGCCAGAAAAACAAGAGCTCTAAGGTAGAGAAAATGCCAATGGTTTTGACGGATACCCCTCAAAGACCATTCGACAAAGTGTTTATGGATATTGTAGGCCCACTACCTACTACAGAGAGTGGGAATAAACTAATTTTAACATTTCAGGATGATTTTTCTAAATATTTGGTATGTACAGCATTACAGGATGGGGAAGCTACGACAGTAACAAGGAAATTCTTTAACGAAATAATTTCAAAATTCAATATACCAAA